TGGATCCCCGGCCAGGGAAGTGACCCACTTGCCCACCGCTCCCCTCAGAAGTGTACATCATCAGTCGGCCTGTTCTGCTCTCCACTCTGTCTCTGGTGAATCCTCTCACCACTCCTGCACTTCTGACCTATACCCTGGTTTTGTATGCATAAATAAATAAATAAATCTTTAAAAAAAAAAAAAAAAAAACTTTAGCCCCCCCCTGGGGGCGCAGTGGGTTAAAGCACAGCACTGAGAATCTAAAGCCGCTTCCACATGAGTTCGATTCCCGCCTGCCTCGGAGGTGACGACATGGTGTGGCAGACCTCTCCTCTCCTGGCCCGTCCGCTGCTCCCCTCAGCAGTGTACTTCATCAATCTGCCTGTTCTGTTACCCATTCTGTCTCTAGTGAATCCTCTTGCTGCCCCTGAGCCTCTGGCCTGTACCCCAGTTCTGTATGCACAAATAAATCTTTAAAAAAAAAACTTTAAATAAATAAGAATAAAAATTATAAATTATGCCACACAATCTTCTTACAATCCTAAACTATATTAAAATAAACAAAATAGACTAAATTCTAAAAATTCACAACCATCCTCAACAATTCACAAATATGTATACTATCTATTCATTTATTCCCTGTAATTTCCTGAAAAACACTCCTCCAAAAACCACCAACCTCATCAGCCAAGCCAATCCCTTTTCTGTCTTGAACAACCTCAACAGCCTTCACTGAAGCCAACTATAATCCTTCCAAGCAGCCAGAGTAAACTTCTAAACACAGAAATCGGATCACACTGATTCTCTGCCACAATGCTCCAAGGCACTCAGAAGGGAGCCCTCTACTCCTGTTTCTCCTCCACTCACATCTCAGCCTTCCAGCCTTCTCCCCACTGCTCCCAATAAGCCAGGTTTATTTCATTCCTTTCCCTGAATCTCTGACTCATTCCTCCTCCTCATCCACGTGTGTTACTTGCTCAGAGCAGCTTGCTTTGATCACCCTTATCTGAACCACCCGCCACTCCATCTCTCTAGCCTTTGCTAGACTTTATTTTCTTGGTAGAACTTACTAATATTGCCATTGTACAGCAACTGTCTATCTTCACAGTCAGACTCAGTCCAATGCTGGTGGATTTGTCAGCTTGTGCTATTGTGTCCCCGGGAGCCCAAGGTGATTGCAAAGGAGGGACACCCAAAAGTATCAGATAAATAAACTTTATAGATGAAGAAACTGAAGCTTAGCAAAATTTTGACAAGGTTATAAATGAGCTTTAATTGGAACCCACATACATATTTGAGCATTCAAATGTCCTGGTCTACTGTAATTATACAGTGATGGACTGTTGGTGCTTTGTTGGTGGGTGTGGTGGAACAAACATTTGCAGAGGTGTAGGCTTACATCCCTAAAAAGATAGTGTGCTATAAACAACAAACATAATAAAAACAAGCAAAAGCCAAAAATAGATTAAATAAATCAACTTTCAATGGTATCTCTCTCTTCCCTGAATGAATATTAAAACTGGTAGTTTCCGGCCCTCCCTGGTGGCGCAGCGGGCTAAAGCACAGCACTAAGAAGCTTAAGCCATTTCCACCTGAGTTCGATTCCCGCCTGCCCTGGAGGAGATCCACATGGCGAGGCAGACCTCTCCGGACCTGCCCGCTGCTCCCCTCAGCAGTGTACTTCATTAATCTGCCTGTTCTGCTCCCCACTCTGTCTCTGGTGAATCCTCTCACCCTCTGCATCTCTGGCCTGTACCCCAGTTCTGTAT